TTTCCCCTCATCGAGGATTCACAGACGCTGGTCATCCCTCACAGCCCGCAGAGCTCCTCAGCCCACAGATGGGGGGGCATTAGTGTAGGGTGGGTGCTCATGGAGCCCCTGTCCACGCACTAACTTTGCCCTGCCCCCCGCAGATTTCACCAGAATGCAGGACATACCCGAGGAGACTGAGAGCCGCGATGGGGAGCCTGTAGCTCCGGAGAGCTAAGGGGGCCCCGCCCTCCTTCCTGTGCCCCCTGAAGAATATTACTGAGGGCGGCAAACCCTGGGGACTCCAACCTGCCAATGAGCAGGGAACACTTGAACTGCTGATTGTCCTTGCCAGCTCTTGGGATCCTTGGAGACCTGGGGCCATTTAGGAAGCTGGGGGGGGAGTTAGGCCACAGTGCCCCCTGGTGGCATCCAGAAAGTACACCACAGATGCCAATTCTTCATGCCTTCTTCCCTCTACTTTAGGAAAGTTTATTTATTTATTGTTTATTAGTTATGGAGGGAGAAAGGGGATTTAGAGGACCAGGGACATGGGAGCCAAGCCATAGGGAACAAGGGGCCTTGTCCTTTAACACTACTGGGGTTTATTCAGACGTAACCATGCAGCTGCCAGTTTCCAGCCCTGCCACCCTCCCAGCAACATCGCCTTTGAGGAGAGGCTGCAGCTGTAGGACCCGACTGCCCCTTCAAGAAGGGCTATGGGCAGGGCCATATCCCTTTCCCCTCAACCTCTTACTGCTGTTCTCTCTTCTCTCCGTCCTCGGTGGAACCCCAGGGAGTCAACCTGGCTTCCTAGAGCGGGTGGAATGGAGGTTGAGGTGGCCATCATGGTCTTTTGGGGGTGACGGGGAAACCCACAGGGACCAGAATGTCTTTTTGTTGTTTTCTTTTTTTTTTTTTTTGTACCAAAGCCAACTGCACGTGTTTTATATTTTTAAGAGAAGATTGTTAGGCGATTAGAAATTGCAGCCTTCTATCTCCACATCTCTGAAGAACTTGGGGGGTGGGGGAAACAGTGACATCACCCTCATCCATAGCAATGGGGGAACTAGTCTGACCTCTTCCGCAGCCATTTGGAAACAGAGTTCTAGGGTGAGTTGGGAAATCTCTATGAACCCTGACCTATCCCCCAGCTCACCAACCATGACCTGAAACCTCCGCCTGAATTGGGGGGGATTTTCAATGGACCCCCAAATGCCCACCAGCGCCAACCATTTTTCTACCAATTTGATTGTGTAAAAAAACAACAAAACAAAAATGAAAAAAAGATAAAAGGTAAAGAAAGGAAAATTAAACACCTGGAACCCCATGAAGTGCTGTCTCTGAATGTCTGAGGTTCGGATGGTGCTGCCGAGGGGAGAGCCAGGGAGTGGCCTGTGTCCCTCGGAAAGGTGGCCTCACTGAAGACAGGGGACCGTAACAAAAGGAACTGCTACCTTCTTTTTCTGTTGTCGTTACTGATATTCACAAACAAGGATTGGGGATTCCAATATTAGAAGACTTGTTTTCATCTCATTTGCATACTGTGCTCAGAAACGGCCTCGGCCTCTGGCCCCCTCCCCTCCCTTTGGGCACAGTTCCTCTGAGCCCCTCTTCAGTGTCCTTTGTTTTCAGGTTCGGCCACCACGCTGCCCTGGTTCTTCACGTGTCAGAGCCCTGGGCACCCTCTTCCAGATGGTCCCCTCAGAGGAGCTCTCCTTTGCTCTCTGAGAGGCAGTGAGACATCAGGTTAATTTCAGTTCTCGTTTTGATTAATTTTACTTCCTGTTTCCGGATAATACCCTACTGTGGGGCTGTCGGGGGAGGCGAGTCTAGAGTTGTAGAAATGCTGCACTAGGTGCACATATGTCTGTAGGAGCTGATGGGGTGAGATGAGAAGAGTGGGGCTCAAGACCTCAGCTAGAAAGAGGAATTGGAATCCCATGGTGGGGGGCGGGCTTGGCGGAGCAGCCAGCACCCTCCACTCCTGTGATGCTCATCTACGAGGTACTTGCTCATCCATTACGGAGTCTGCAGGAGGAATTGCTGTCATTTTACGGACATGGAAATCTAGGTGGCAGGCCCAGCTGCAGGCCTTCACTTCCCCCTCCACAACTCTGCCTAAAAATATCAAAGCTCCAGGTTTCAAACCCTGACACGTGGCTCAGCAACCCACTGCTGTGTCAGCTGGGACCCAAGGCTGTAAAAAGGTGGAGAGGAGGGAGGAAGACTAGTGCTGGGTAGGAGGAGGGTGTTAGGTTGCATCCGAAGACCCACGTGTTCACAGCGACCCAGTGAAGGATGCTGGGCAGGCCCCGAGTGCGGGTAAAGCCCAAGCTCTATTCCTGGCAGCGCTGCCCCTCCTGTGACCCCCCCTGACCAAAACCCCCTCATTCTTAGAAACAAGATGTCCTGTTGCCCCATTTTTGGAAACTCGGTTTTAACTGTCTCTCCTGCAGTTTCGAAGCTCTCTGTGCTACAAGGAGCCAGGGCCCAGATATTTGCCAAAACAATGCCTTTCCATTCGAGAGGAGCTGCCCAGCCAGCCTCCGTTGCTGTGCCCTCTCCTGCCTCCCCACCCCTCCTAAGGGGAAGCCTACGTGCATTCATCTCTGGATTGGACCTGTTTAGACTTTGTCAATATTTACCCCTGGGTCCCATAAAGCAGAGGCCCTTACAGGAGCCAATATCCGGAGCCCAGCAGAGGGAGGGTCATTGGAGGAGCTGAGGGGTGGGGTGGCAAAAGGGTGCTTAGGTGGGTAAGGATTTCCCATCCTGAATCGGCTGGGAACAGACCTGGGGTTTTAGAACCAGTTTAAACATTATCAAAAAGAGGAAATTAAACAAGAGGCTAATTAAATCTATTCAGTATTGCTTAACATGTGGTGAATTGGGTAGTTGTTTACAGCCTCCTCGGCAACCGGATGGAGCTGGTGCCGGGGCGCCTGCAGGCCCTGTGATGCCCTTGCCAGAGGGGCTCCACACACAGGCGCTGCTCCTGGCTGTTGTGGGACCTTGAGTGGCCAGAGTTGTTAGGGTTGTGAGACATGCCAGAGCTTGGGGTGGGGGAAATGGAAATGGGAGCTCCACCCCATCTTCTTTCTGCCACCTCCCTTTTCAGGGGCTGCCCCCCAGAAAGTCCCTTGTGATCGCCAACCTTTATCATTGCTGGGTCTTGGGTCTCTGTGGATCTGGAAACCAAGGGGGAACCCCCTGCCCCAAAGAACACACCTTCAAAAGGGGCTGGAGGAGCCAACCCCTCACTCAGTTCTTACATAAAATTTTCATTTTACTCCAGAGCATGTAAAAATCATCCCAGGCCCTGGCCGGCTTGGCTCAGTGGATAGAGCGTCGGCCTGCGGACTGAAGGGTCCCAGGTTCGATTCCGGCCAAGGGCACATGCCTGGGTTGCGGGCTCGTTCCCCAGTAGGGGTTGTGCAGGAGGCAGCCGATCAATGATTCTCTCTCATCATTGATGTTTCTATCTCTCTCTCCTCCCTTCCTCTCTGAAATCAATAAAGGAATGTATTTTTTTTTTTTGGATAAACAAAAGCCAAGTTTATTTGCTCATTTCTTGCATTTGAAGTATTCCTCGATGACATCCTTTGCCTGAGACTCTTTGCCATAGTCCTTCACCACCACGCAACTGCAACCAACCACTTTCCGGGGTTTCCCCTCTCTGTCGATGTTACAGAGGCCTACCCATTCCCCTAGTTTCTTGTCGTCTACCTTAATTAGGCTGATTTGGTGTTCAGCACAAAGAGCCTCCACCAACTTGACGTACACAGGCTCATCACAGTTGGATGCAAGTACACAAAGGTGGGCTTGGCGCTTGTCTAAGGCTTTGGCAGCTTCGCGAATTCCGCGCGGAGGCCATCGTGGATGAGGGCGGTCTTCAGCACCTCTTGCAAAGCAGTATTAACGTCCATGACACCTCCAGCAGCAATGCCTTCCTCGGCCATGGCGGTGGGTTATGGGTGGAGCCGAATCTTGAACGCACCCAAGCCTCCGCCTCCGCGCAACTCCGCGGCGGCAGGGAAAGAGCAGGAATGTATTTTTTCAAAAAATCATTCCAGATAAGACCTCTATGGCCCTCCAACCCCATCTCCCAGCTGCCTCCTCACTGTTTCCTTTTCCTTCTCTGACTCCATGTTACACAGAGTGTAAGAATAATAGCTAACAATCAGGTAGCAACCCATCTTACAGATGAGGAAACGGGTACAGAGAAAGAAAGGAACTTAACGAGTTCCCTGGGAGCTAGGATGTGAATCCAGGTGCTCTGACTCAGTGAAGCCTCTGGGATAGGGAGGAAGAATAGCACCCCCAGCCATGCTTCCCACTTCTCCAGCCCACCTTCAGCCTCCTCTCCCACCCCCATTCTGCAGCTCTCACCTCACCGCGCCTCACCCACATCCTTGACTTGTCGTTATCTTCACTCCTCCCTCTAAATCCTGCTTTAAGGAGAGACCCACACGTTTAAGGAGAGACCCACACGGACTCCCAGCCAACGCCAGAGTTTTACACGGGGCGTGGCTGGTGCCAGGGATCCAGCAAGATTCCACAGGTGGCACCTCCCCACATGGGAACTACAGCTTTTGCAGCTGAGGTTTTTGCAGACATCGAGTTTCCGTGGGTACCGCTGAGGGTAAGAAGATGGAGATGCCCAGGGGAGGAGGGCATTTTCGGTCCTGGTACCAGAGAAGAACAAGGGTGCATCCGTTTGAGATGGAGAGCAGGAAGGACAGGCAGGGGGAGAGGCTTAGGCACTGGCTCCTGATCCATGAGTCTAGGGCAGCCGTGGGCAAACTACGGCCCGAGGGCCGGATCCGGCCCGTTTGAAATAAATAAAACTAAAAAAAAAAAAAAAAGACCATACCCTTTTATGTAATGATGTTTACTTTGAATTTATATTAGTTCACACAAACACTCCATCCATGCTTTTGTTCCGGCCCTCCGGTCCAGTTTAAGAACCCATTGTGGCCCTCGAGTCAAAAAGTTTGCCCACCCCTGGTCTAGGGCCCTTAGGGAAATTTCCCTGGGAATTCTCACAGAAGGCAGAGGTGGGACAAATAATGCTTTTGTCCACACTGAACTGAAGGTGGAATTGGGATAAAGAGTCAAGATCATTTCTGGATGGTCCAGATGTTTATTTTTAGATCCTCTTCTTTCCCACCTCCAAATGGAGGCATAAGCTTTGTCCTACCAGCCCTGACCTGGGCCTGGGCCCGCTGCATGCCACCACACCCAGAATAATTGAAGATAAGACTTTCCCCGAGGGCATGTCGGCCTGGCAGACAGGCCCGCCCTCCCTAGGACGCGGGGATCCTGCCCCTGGCAGACCCCAGAAAGAGGGTGCGTAGTTTGTACCTTCACCCAGGTGTTCCTTTGTCCACGTTGGTGAGCATGGTAGAAGGGCCACTCTCCTGGGGGTGCTCTCCACTCACCGCCTGCCTACCTCCTCTAAGGCCCCCTGCTTCACCCCGGTTCTGGGGCCACAGTCGCGCTCGGAGATCCCTGAAGGTGCCTGCCAGGGCCTGCCGGGACTCCTGCCGCAGGAGACAGTACAGCACGGGGTTGAGGCAGCTGTTGCTGTGTGCCAAGCAGATGGTGACAGGGGAGACGTGGGTATGGACGGCGGAGAAAGTGCTGTCCCAGGGAACCAGGTCAAAATTCACCAGGACACTCCAGAGAGTGATTATGTGGTTGGGGAACCAGCAGAGGAAGAAGGAGGCCACCAGGATGCAGACGGAGCGGGCTACGACCCTGCTATCCTGCCGCCTTCTTCGCCGCCGCCGCCGCAGGAAGGCCAGCAGCAGCAGGTAGCTGGTGGTGATGATACCCAGGGGCACCATGAAGGCCAGCACCACCCTCTGCAGCTGGTAGGCCCCCAGCCAGTACCTGCTGGGGAAGCGCAGCAGGCAGAGACGCACGCCCCACACCTCCCCCTCTGCCCCAAAGACTGCCGTGGGCACTGCCAACAGGGCAGCTGCCACCCACACTGCCAGGGTGGCCGTGCGGGCCCAGAAGAGGGGAAGCGGCGTGCCTGGTCCTGCAGCCATGGCCACCACCCAGTATCGGGCAACACTCAGCGCCGTGATGAGGAAGATGCTGGCGTAGATGTTGAAGACAGTGGCCGTCAGGAACATCTTGCAGAGGGCACCTCCAAAGGGCCAGTGGAAGCCCAGTGCCGACTCAGCCGCCCAGAAGGGGAGAGTGAGTGCCAGCCCCAGGTCTGCCAGAGCCAGGTTGAAGACAAAAGTGTCAGACGGTGGGCAAGGGGCTCGCCGAGCACAGTTACCCAGCACCCACAGCACGGCCAAGTTTCCCATAAATCCAACGGCCCCTACAAGCCCATAGGCCAGGGCAAGCACAACCCTCAGGGCAGGGAATTCAACAGGCAGCGCAGTATCGTCCACGCTCAGCACACCACCGGCAGAGGTATTGAGCCAGAAAACGGGCAGAGGGGCAGAGAGAGTGGGTGTGGGCATCTCAGGGCATCAGAGGCCACAGTGCTGAGCAGCGAAGGCAGCCCGCTTAGCGCCAGACTGGCAGGACCTCTCAGCAGGAGGCTCCAGCCCTCCGAGGGCGGGGTGTGGATGGGACAACCCACCCGTCCCTGTTGGTCCTGATTGGTGGTGGGTGGGGCAGGATGAGAGAGGGCCGGACATGGGGGGGTGTGCGCATGTGTGTGTGGTGTGTATCTGTGTAGGAAGGGCTCTATGCAGTAGAGAGGAGAGAAAGGGGAATTACTCCACCATGAAAATCAGACCCAAGCCAGACCCAGGGAGAGAACCAGAGACACCCCATCTCAGGGATGACAGGAAGCAAACTGCAGACCCTCTTCCTGCCAGTGTGCAGGGGCCCCCTTCTCTGCAGAAAGTACTTCCTTGGAGCCTGGGGGAAGGGACCTGGAGGGGGCATATGGCAGGAAATCAGAATGGGTGTCAGGGAGAGAGAGGGAGAGGGAGGGAGGGAGGGAGGGAAAGAGAGCAAGCAGGGGTTCTGGAGTCCCAGATCTGCTACTCACTCGCTGCGTGACTTTGGGTAAGTCACTTTACTCCCCCGAGCCTCAGTTGCCTTGCTTAAAATTTTCAGATAAAAGTCTCTGCTTCAAAAGATCAGTGTGATGAAATTAGATAATACATGTAAAAACAAAGCACTTTGTACGTTGCTGTTTGCACTAATGATTATAATTTTAAAGGAAAAGTTTGGGGTGTTTGTGGCACCAGGGAGCAGGGTACTGAGCAATTATCACCAAGCCCAGGGAACCGTGCCAACTAAAACACAGGTTTAATTCACTGCAGCAGCAAGTGACCTTGAGGCTAAGGGCAGGGAGGGAAAGAGGAGAAGTCACAGCTTCCTGTTTCCTCCCGACTGGGAACACAGCCGGAGAGGCCCTGAGTGGACCTGGGCATGCCCTCCCTTCTGTTCCTGCTTCTGCGTATGAAGTACAGTAGTCCTGCGAACCTCCCTCACTCCACTGCCTGTGCACCTTTCCTGCTCTCGTCGGTGGAGCCGGAAGTCAACAGCATCTCCCACTCTTCTCCAACCCCCAAATGCTATTTCAGAGATGGATCCTGAGATACACCCTCACCACACCTCATCCTGTCTCCCCATGATCTCAGACCTAACCGGAAAACATGCTTCATTGGGTCCTCCCATTTTGTGCCCATATCCCTACCCTTTGCACAACTTGCTGTGATGGGAAAACAGAGGTGGGAGGTGGGTAGATAGAAGAGTGAGGCTTTTTCAAGGATTCCAGAATATTCAACACCTCCCTGCCCTCTGCCAACTAATTACAATGTTTGATGTTCAGTTTCCTTGGCGTGCTGGGGGAGGAGAAGGGCCCTTCAGGACAATAAATCAGCAGTGGGTTTTTAAAAATACATATTTTTATTGACTTCAGAGAGGAAGGGAGCAGGAGAGATAGAAACATCAATGATGACAGAGAATCATTGATTGGCTGCCTCCTGTCCGCCCCCCCCCCCCGCCCCAACTGGTGATCAAGCTTGCAACCTGGGCATGTGCCCTGACTGGGAATCAAACCATGACAACTACTGAGTCACGCTGGCCAGGCAGCAGTGGGTTTAATGAACCTTACAGAAGAGACCCAAAGGTAAGAAGATCCAGATGGTGCCAGGATGTTTGGGTTTTTCAGCAAGGGATACCTGTGAAGAGGTTGGTAGAAGGGGAGGGCCCAGCCCAAGTTCAGATGAGTCCCATGAGTTACCTCCTGGCCACCCATCCAAGCATCACTTTGCCAATCTAGCAGCGAAGGTGTCTGCTTAATGCATCAGACTTACTTTCTCATGGCTTGAAGAAAAGAAGCTGGGTCAGAATTCTGCTATCCATTTGCAATATCTGGTCCTGTGATCATTTCTTTTTTACCTTTATTCATTTCTAATCTAAATCCTTTCCCTTGCTCTATCAACACCCGCCCTGTGGTTATGTAGAGAAGTGATGCCACCAGCTGGCCGAGTCAAGAACTTCACTTTGGGCCCTTGCACTTTTCTAGAATTTTGTTGGTTGATTTATTGATCTTTCCTCCCTCCCTCCCTTCCTTCCCTCCTTTGCATTATTTATTCATTCGTGTGTTAATCACAGCATTTCCCAAACTGTTACTATGTGCTAGGCACTGTGCTAGATGGTGGGAAGATAAAAACTAATAAAATAAGGTCCCTCACCTCATAAAATATAATAAACTTCTGAGATGGATGGTAGGATCTTTAAGATAATCTAGTCCAGCCCGGCTGGCATGGCTCAGTGGTTGAGCGTTGACCTATGAACCAGGAGGTCACGGTTGGATTCCCAGTCAGGGCACATGCCCAGGTTGCAGGCTCAATCCCCAGTGTGGGGCGTGCAGGAGGCAGCAGTCAATGTTTCTCTCTCATCATTGATGTTTCTCTCTCTCTCCCTCTCCCTTCCTCTCTGAAATCAATAAAAATATATATGTATATTTAAAAAAGTGGCAGAGCATCAAAAAGAAAAATCTTAGGAATAAATCTGACAAAAAAGGTGTGCATTATTGGCAAACTGAAAACTACAAAGCACTGATACCTTTGAAAACATTATAAGAAGCCAGACACAAAGATCATATATGATTCCATTTATATGAAATGCCCAGAATCAGCAAATCCATGGAGACAGAAAGTAGATTAGTGGTTGATGGTGGCTGACAGGAGAGGAAAATGGAAAGTAACTGTTACTGGGTGCAGGATTGCTTTAGGGGTGATGAAAATGATCTGGAATTAGATACTGGTCATGGCGGCACAACTTTGCGAATACACAAATAGGCACTAAATTGTACACTTAAAGTACCCTTTTAAAAAGGGAAGATTTTATGGTTCATGAATTACAATCAGAACCGCAACAGCCCTGTGTTTTGGGGAGACAAGGCAAAGGGAAAACAATGTTGTTTAATCTAAAATTCACTTGGGGGGATAGGGGCAGGACAAATTGAGTAAAGGGGTCAAATATATGGCAATGGAAGGAAACTAGACTTTTTGGTGGTGAACATGCAGTACAGTACACAGATATTGAATTATGTTGTACATTTGAAATTTATATAGTTATTTTAAAAATAAATAAAATTCACTTGGAAAAAATACACCTGTATGCAGAAAATGTAGAATGAGAATCGGCTCGCCCGAACAGATATTATAATATACACGGGCCCAGCTGGTGTGGCGCAGTTGGTTGAACATCATCCCATGCACCAGGAACTGGCTGGTTGGATTCTTGTTCAGGGCACATGCTTGGGTTGAGGGCTGGATCCCAAGTAGGGGTTGTGCAGCAGAAAGCCCATTGATGTTTCTTTCTTATAGATGATGTTTCTCTCTCTCTCTCTCTCTCCCTCTCTATTCCTCTCTCTAAAATAAATAAAAACATATTTAAAAAATATACATACACATGGAATTACTGTAATAAAGACACTATAGCAAAGCAAATGGATCAGTGCAACAGAAAAGAATGCAGAAATATACATTTCACATCCAATATCGGTGGCATGTGTAGGAAGGGGAAACTTATTAAACGCTGAAAGGGAAACACTATAAATTTGACTTTTTAAATGAATTTGTATTCTATTAATCCAATCAGAATGCAAACTTATTTGAAAAATAGTGCTGTATTCTATTTATGTGAGCTAGAGACTCCTTGCAGCTCCAAGGTACCCCCATGTTGGAAATCTCTGGCTTCCAACATCAACTCTGACTTCTCAGTTGGCCTTCAAGGCCTTTCAGGATCTGGCCCCCACACACTCAGGCCAGTTCAACCTTAAGAGCTCGATCGCAGAACAGGGTTTCATAACCTATTACCACTTCTCCGCCCCGACTCAGATGTTCAGCTTCCATTTCTTTCAAATACTTCAAGTCGAGCACTTCACCTTCTTCACAGTTGATGATACCACCTCGCCATACGCATCTGTCTGCGTGCCTGCCCGCCACATTGTACTAGAAAGGCAGGGCCCGTAGCTTTCCGCTTTATCTATGTCCTCCTCTTAAAACAGTGCTTGGCGCACGGAAAAGAAACAAACAAAAAACCAAAACACAAAAAACCATAAATTCTTCCAATGACCTTTAGGACGAATCATTTTCCGTTTCCTAAATAAGGTAACTGAAACGTAAAGTGGGCAAAAGACCTCGAGAAAGCTCTTCCCCACTAGCGGCTGGGATCCCCTAAGAATACAGCTCAATGTGGGGGGAAATCGGCGTAATTCCCAGACTCGTGCGTATTATTGTGTAGGTTACCAATTTGCCCACAACAAAGATCGATTCTCCCCGCGCTAATTCCGCTTTAATGCGAGGATCAGTAACCATCTTTCTCAGGGGCAAGGCCCGACAAGAAGGTCACACCCTCCCAGCCTCGGCTAATGCCAGACGCCTGGAGATCCGCGAGAGTCCAATCGGAATAGACGTTTTAACCGGAACTTCTTGGCCTCACGACCGGAAGAGACTGTGCGTAAGGGCGTTAGGGGCGGAAGTGACGGGAGGGTGGTTGTGGGATAGTTGGCGGGTGGTTGAGCCGAGCCGGTCGCCATGTCCGCGGGGAGCGCGACACATCCTGGAGCCGGCGGGTAAAGCTTCGCGGGCGAGGGAATCGCGGCGAGCGGGGGGCGCGGGAGAGGCGGGGGGGCCCTGGGGAGCTGCGTGTGGGTAGAGGGGCGCTGAAGTGGGAGTGTACTATCGGGGGGCCGGATTGTTGGGAAGGGTGGTGAGCAGGCCTGGGGCCCCGGAAAAAGGCCGGCGGGGATCAGAGGGGAGAGGAAAGCAGGGACTTTTGGGAGTGCGGGCCGAGGGGAAGGCGAAAACGAGGGCTTGTGGGACAGAGTGAAGTCTTTTGATGGGGATGACGGAAGAGAAAGGAAGTAGATTCTGGAAAAGGGTTGAAAGAAGTGAGGATTTGGGGAAATCATGCAGTAATTGTCTATTTAAGATGGTAATCTGAAGCCCTGATAGGAGATTCGAAGGTGTCAAGGGAACGTGATAGAGGGAAAATGGGGTGCCAAGGCACAGCAAGGGAAAAATAGTACAAGTGAAAGCTTTTTTGGGGGGAGGGCCTATTATTTTTCTCTTACTTATTGTAGGCGCCGCAGCAAATGGGACCAACCAGCTCCAGCCCCCCTTCTCTTCCTCCCACCGGCGGTCCCAGGTGGGGAGGTGGCCAGCAGTGGGGGAAGTCCTGGGGGCACCACAGCTGCTCCCTCTGGAGCCTTAGATGCCGCTGCCGCGGTGGCTGCCAAGATCAATGCCATGCTCATGGCCA